AGACCTTCTCTCTTTTCTAACTTGACCTATCTTGCCACAGATGGCTACTCTGACCTTGGATGTCTTACAGCCATACTCAAATCAACTGAGCTAATTGTCTTACACACTCTTAGGAATGATGCAGAGGCTCCACCTCTAGGACAACAACACCCTATTTCTAAAAAGGCCTGTGGGAAATTTACAGGGTCATGGTCATATTATTTACATGCAAATGGGAAAAGAAAATCCTTTCGAGCAGGCCACATTCCAGATACAAACACCAGAAGAGGTTATAAATACACAAGAGGGATACACAGTCTGTTAGTATTATCTGATGCCTAGGAAGGCGAGCCAACTGCTTTCATGGTAACAAAGGATTTGAGCAAAATCCTATGACCTTTGGCAGTTGATGTTTTCCTTATGTTAATTTTATAGACAGCAAATTTTGCCTAAATGTTTAAACCAAGCATAATATAAAGTAGATGTATTTTTGAGAGCTCCACTTGTGATCACTTTTCTGTGCTGCACTTAGAGCATCAGGAAGCAGCAGACTGGTCTCCAGGGTTCCTCAAAAGCATTTGCTGACCTCCTTGTCAATAGGAAGTTACCAGTAAACATTCAACCCACTACCTCCTCCAAGTTCAAGTTCACTGTGAAGTTTGGATCTGATAATTTTAGAGCAAAGTTCAAAATCAGTCCATCATCATCTTTCATTTCTAGTTAAAAGTTAACAGGTTTTTATGTTTGTTTAATTTTATTTGGCTTGCAGATTCAGATTCCCGAGGTTTATTAGTCCCAAGGAATGGAAAACTTGATCTCCTATCACCTGAGTACTCCGAAAAGAAAAACACCTGAGTTGCTGTAGGGGGAGAAAAGTTGATCCACAGCGCCATCTCCTGGTCAGTATGGTGTGTTGCACAAGCATGTTAGACACTAAGCCCTTGCTGAAAGCAAATTTCAGGCCATATCACACCATCAGTGGTTTTGGTAAATTATACCTAAAATATGAAAGTGTGAGTGTAGCCTTTGAGAAATCCTGAGGACATTGATTGGTGAAAAATATTAAAACCCACCAGTGTGGTGTAAACCCAGTTGCACTAAAATCTAGCAAGAACTTCAGGTGTTAAAAAGGGAAAAAACTTTTATAACAATGTGAGAAAACATCCAGTAGAATACTATTAGGAGAGTAAAAGTCGAGTATATATTAGAGTTACAAGAATATAAAAATAAGGGAATGTGGAAAACAGAGGGATGTATGAAGATGGCAACCGATATAATTGGTTTGTTTTTCTGATGTCACAAATTGTCCATGTGACAAGTGAGGCTAGATAAGCAATCAATAAGTTGTTGGTTGTATGAAATTATACTAGATACAAAAAAGGGATTGATCCCAACTTTCCCAAGTCTCACTTCTCTTTGATGTAGTTTACCCACAGGAAACATTCTCCCAAATAGAAACAGTATAACAAACTGACTTGATCACAATCTACCCACCCACCTTTTCTTTCCTGCATGAAAAGCAAAGCACGTGGCTTCTGATCTGAGCTCTTATAAGAATTCAATCTAGTTTCATTCATGCACAAGATTTTACCTGACAGTCACATAGTCCCTGCAACAATCATTTCCAAACTTTATTTATATAGGATCTCTTAGAGGGCTTTTTAAAAACAAATTTCCAGGCCTCAGTCCCAGTCTACTACAGCAGAATCCTAGGGATGAAATCCAACAAATTGCTCTCCTAAGTTATTCTGATTGCAACCAGCCTGTGAGCTGGCCGCAGGACCACAGCTGTATCTTATTGAAACAGGATGACAGACTCAATCAAATCCTTGCCTTGCTGGTCAGTCTACATGCTTACAGGAGATGTGGCTTCAACTCCAGGTCATTAAAGGCAAACATTCTTTATTACAAAGTTTGTTTACACTTAATACATTTTCTTTGGGTACACCATTTCCAATTGAGAAAATAACCCAAGTTATATATAATTTGTATAGAAAGCATGGCTTTTCGTATGAGTTAGGAAAGTCAGGATCATTTTAATTTTGAAAAAAAATGTCTTGGATAATGGGGAGTGGAGTACACACAGTTGCACATGGGAGGAACCCTTGGTAGGCCAAAGGATGTTCTTGGGTGACTCAGGAACATTAAATGTGGCAGTGGGGTAGCAAGACTGAAAGATGGAAGTTTAATTAAATGCATTTACAGTGAGTTTGGATGTGAATTAATAAAGCTAAAACTACGAATTGAAAGGAGGTGATCCAAGAATCCCATTTTCAGAAAGAGGATTCCTACATTCCTTAGTGATCACTAGTCCATCCCCACCCTTTGTCTATTCCCACTCTTATATCCCTCCTCAGGGCCCACATACCATGGTATCAGAGCAGACTCTGTAATGTGTTTTCTGACCCTCTGTGCAACAGACTCCAATGTCCCCATGGGCAGATGGCACCCTAAACTTCCCATGTCCTGATTCATCTAGAATAGGACTTTGTCCATAATGAAAACTGACAATCCCTTTCTCCTCCATTTAAGGATTTTGCCTTTTGTTGTTTGAAATGTGGTACCCTCAAGTGAATGAAACAGTTGTTGGATTTTGTATCCAGTTTTGTGCAGCAACTTTAGGTGTGTGTTTTTGTGTGCTTGTGGGAGGTGTTTAGATAGCAAGAGCCCTGTGAGGTTCCCAGAGATGGAGTGAAGCAAAAGATAAAGTGGAAAGTACAAATTATGGCCTCCTGAAAGCCAAGTGCTCTGACCAAGAAGTTCAAATGTTAGACGAGCTACTAGATAGACAGATAATGCATTTTTCTGCTATTGATGCTGAATAATATTTATACCTACTTCCATGCACAGAAAAGCCATGCTTCCTTCCAATGTTAACAATAAAAATACAGTTGAAAAATGATCATAATTATTCTTCTCATTGAAATGATGCCAATGTAAAACCAAATATAAAGATGAAGTTAGTCAAAACCCACGCCAAATTAAATACTCAGAAAAAAAATCTCATTTTGTAGTTTTTGCCTGGCCTAACAGAGTTGCAAAGGAATGGTCCAAATAATTCTCTGTTTTCTCATAAATGGTGCAGGTAGAGTCCAAAATGAATACTTTTACAGATTTTCTAAATATTGCTTCAAATACAATTTACTCTGGATTTTCATTTTAGGCCCTAGTGTTTGTAACTTTTCTTTATGTGTTTTTTCCAGTAGGTTGTCCTTGAAAAATTAGTAGGGACTATGTCTCCTTTTAAAAATTGTTTATTCTGATTGTTTATTTGAACATAGAAAAGTGTGCAAATCATAAACGTTAAGTCAATGAATTTTCACAAACTGAACACAACTTTGTAATTAGAACTCAGATTAAGAAATGGAACTTTCTAGCACCTCAAAGCCCATTTCATACTTCCTTTCAGTCATTGCTCACCTTGCAAGAGTAACCTCTATGCTGACTTGCAGGTGCAAGGTTTAAGTCAGTTCAGTTGGTTATCGCTTCCTAACAACAAACCCTAGAGCCTTAGTGTTTCATGGTCACCCATCCCTGGTAGCTGTATAGGCAATTCTGCTCATCTTGGCTGGGCTCCCTCCCTTGTCTAAGGGCGGGGGCAGTGCTGCTGTAGTATGCTGGCCAGAGCTTGGGAATGGGTGGCAGAGGATAAGAGAACAGAAAGAAGCTTGCAAGCCTCCTGTTTGCTCAAGAGACTGACAGCAGGATTAGATTGGAGCTAGTAAAGTGAGCCACACAAGTATAGAGTCAGCTTTTGTCTTTACCAAAAACTTTTCTATTTTGTTCAATGTGGAATTTGACATTAATTTTAATTTTTGAAAACATTACATTAGAATATTATTTTTCTTGATTACTGAGGTTTTGGGTGCTTCTTAAATTTCTGTGACTGAGTTAGTGTCTTTGCCCTCCCTGTAGTCCTGGTCTTACTGGAGACAGATACTCCCAACCACAGTCACATGGCAAAGAGCATGGATTTCAGAAAGATAATCAGAGTTATTCATGTAATGGATTTATCCCAATTAATTTTGGCCATTTTTGTATCACTTCTGGACTCTAACTCTCCTAGTTTATCTGATCACCACCCCCAATACTCCCTTGGCTATTCTTGGCTTCGCTTTTCTAAGTGATTTTTAGCAGTTAGTCAATTTCCACAAAAGAAAAAGCCTGCTGGATTTTTTTACTGGGTTTGTTTTAAATTATAGACTACTCTGGGGAGTAGTCTATAATATGATATGCCTCCATGTCTTAAATTTTTCTCTGTGTCTCACACGTTTGTACTTCTATTTTAATAAGATAGGTGGACAATAAATATATCAAATAGTTGGTCAATAAATGCACTGTTAGCACGAGGCTTCATCCTGAATATTTTTCAGCCAGGCTGCACATCTCAGAGGCACCTGTACTCATTCTTCTCTGCCATCTCTTCAGACCTTGCATGGGCTCTTCCCTCAAGTGGGTAGAATTCCCTTCCTGCCCTCTGTCCCTCCTACCTGACAAAACCTAATCTTCCGTGACAGACTCACTTCAAATGTCTTTGTCCTGAAGAAGTAGCAAATCCTCTTTGTGGTCTCCACTGCATTCTCTCCCCTGATGTTTAGTCTCCACTTTGTACTGTGATGAGCTGCTCAGATACCCATAAACTGGGGGGTGCTGATTACAGCCAGCCCGGCACTAAGTAGACTTGTGTTAGGTAAATGAAAACAACCTCCTTTTTTTATTGAACTATTTGGTTTAAGTGATTTGCTTTAATTTGTGGAACTTCACTTGGATTTAACTTCAGTCAAAGGAAAAAAGTGTAATGTCCCCCTTTAACAAACCAGTACATGCCAATCTAATTTGTTTTCGCTATTCATTTTTATTTGAAAATATTCATTGACATTCAGCCCCTTGACAATAAGGACATACATTGGTGTGATTCACGTGACAGTTTCTAAGTAAGTTTAGGAAAAAAAAAAATCAACAGCCTTTTCTCAGCTACAAGTAAGAGCTCATGAAAAAGCCTGTGTCCTTTCAGCCTCTAGATGGCAGTGTCGCTACCACTGTAATCAGCCTAACCAAGCTGGTGCTGTCACTCAGGAAGTGGGGGAGACAATGTAGACCATGCTGTGAACCTTAACTAGCTGTTGGCAGAAAAATGAAGACCAAAACTCAGCCCAGAAGAAAATGGAATTATGGGGAAAACAACATGGAAAATGGTAAGGAATGCTATTTGACATTATTTCGATGAAAGTTTAGCAAGAAGCTGAATTAACAGGCCACAAAATCAGTGAGAAAAGATATGCAGAAGCAGAGACTGGCCAGACAGTGTTGAGAAGGAAAGGAGTCTCCTGTCTACCCTGAACAGCTGGAGCCCAGCCCCTCAGGTGGAATGGGAGGAGGTGTGGGCTGGCAGGAGAACTGAGCCCTTGGTAACTGTGTTCTTGAGTTCTGCTGTAGGGAGCAAGATGTGGAGGCTTCAGACAATATTGATTGGGGCTCCATTCCACTGCTTTTGGTTGGAACTGCTGTCAACTCCAAAGTTATACGGGACCTTACTCAAGTTTTGCTCTGCATTTGAGAGGAAGAAGGCAGAGGACATCTATTTCTATATGTGCTATACAAGATAATTGGATTTTTTTCATTGAATTCTCACAACAACTTCACAAATTAGGTAATATAGTCTCATTTTATAGGTAAGAAACCTGAGGCTTAGAATGAAGCTTATTCATGGCCAAAAAGAGAGGAGGGATTAAAACCCAGCGCTATTGCCATGACCCCAGGCTGAATCCCAAGGAATCCCACCATCTCCTGGGAATAAATGATTCATGCTTTTTCTTCCTAGAGTTGCTATGGAATGGGAAGAGAATGTGCTCATGGACACCTCCCACTCAGTGTCTGGAGCACAGTCCACACTCAGTAGTGAGCACTCAGTATAAGAGGAAAGAGGTCCCTTCTCACCGATTTTCTCTGGACTCTCAGAAATGATACAGAGCTTAAGAATGGGCCTTGCTCTTTTGTTTACCAGGTAAGTGACATCCTCCCACCCAAAGAGGAACCTTTTAGGAGTCCTGGTGGGAGGAAGCAGACCAGGTGGTAGGGGACCCTGAATAACCTGCCTCAGAGATCTCTAATCCAAGACTGGTTAGTTTTCCTTTCTGGGTGGGAAGAGGAGGCAAATCTTTCTAGTTACAATTCCGAGTTGGATAAAGGGATTTCCAGGCTCAAAGTGTAAATCAGGGTGGAATTTATTTCCACAGAGAGCTGAGGTGACTCCTGTAAAGCAAATCCATGAGTTTCCTGGGCCCATCCCCAACAAGTCACTCATGAGCCCTGAAGAAACTGATTGATTAATAAACCTTAAGGAGGCTGCAGGTCAAGAGCATCAGTGTTCTCCTATCAGGACTGGCTTTATTTTTAATGTCACAAATAAATTGTTTCAAGCTCAGATAGGGAAACTGAGGCTGAGAGGCAACCAGGGACAAAGTAATTCCATAACTAAGAGCACCAAGCTCTCTGGGCCTGAGGATACAGAAAACCTGTCCTTGTTACAACACAAGATCCACTAAGAAGCTTGCAGTAGCATTTTAATTTTGTGGTTAAAAAAAAAAAAAAAAACCTGAGTAATTAAGTCACTTGCCTATTTTTCATTTTCTGCTAGCAACTCCACAAAAACTACTAAGAACAAAGACTCTAGGGCCTAGGCCAAGCTACTAGATTCAGAAGATGCTGCAGTGGTTTTGAGATTCTAATCACCACAGATGACAGTTGATGTGAACAGAATCAGCTTCTTTATTTCCCTCCCTGAGGAAGCAAAAGTCTTAAAACAGATTAAAATGGAGAATAACAGCAAAGTTTTTAAAAGAGCTAATATGAACTGCTAGCTTCTCCTCTGACAACCTCACCACCACCACTGACATCAGCCCCTAGGCCTAGGAAAGGAAGGAAATAAGAAGAACTTCCCACAAAGCCCCTGAGGAGAGGTGAGGGTGGCAGGCTCCCCTCCAGCTGGGGTTCCTTCTGCAGCAGACCTCAGGGCATGTCTGCCAGTCAGTCACGGGGAGAAAGGAAATACCCCGCGGGCAGGGCACAGTCAGGAGGGAGGGTCAGAAGCCAATTCTCGGCTTCCTGCAGAGTTAAGTTTTGTAATGACACAGATTGGTGAGTTTCCACTAACCCAGCACAGTATGAAGATGGTAGCTGGGACTAGGGAGGACTTGTCAGTCCCAGGAGGACATTTGGAGGAGAGGAAAGAAGAATCTTCTGGGTTTCAACCCCAATCTCTTACTCTGTGGCCTTGGATGAGATATATCCTAGTTCTGAGCCTCAGTTTCTTATTAGTAAAATGGGGATATCATTACCTAATTCATAAAGTTATGAGAATTAAGTGAAAGAAAAGTCTTCAAGATCCTTGCAAAGAACAGGTGATTAATAAATGGGAATGAGTGTGAAACCACCTTCCTGGAATGAGGGGCCAGTGGCTGCCTGTGAAATAGCAGGGTACTTCCGAAAATGCCTGGCTTCAAGCAATACCCATTCTAGCAGGGAGCACCCCCAGAGATGTGAACTCAATGGTGCCAAGAAGCACATGGAGCCACAGAGAAGGATGCCTTCCCCACCACTGGCATGCAGACAACCATAAAAAGAGACTTCTCTGTCACTGGAAGCCACCAAGGAAATTAGGGGTACAATGATAAGAAAATCATGTTCAATTATAAAATATATCCCATTTTGTAGCCCTTTGTATCTGTCTTCTATTGCTGCTAGAGCAAATTGCCATAATAGATTAATTGTCTTTTAGTCCTGTGGGCTACAAGCCCCTTGGGCCCCATAGGACTGAAGTCCAGGTGTCAGCAGGGCTGTGTTCCTTAGTGGAGCCTCTAGTGGAAAATCCATTGCTCTGCTTATTCAGGTGTTGGCAGTTCCATGGGACTGAAGGACTGAGGTCCCTGTTTCCTTGCTGGCTGCTAGCTAGAGCCACCACTAGTTCCTAGACAACCCTGGTCCTTGCATGGAACCCCCTGTATTTCTGCAACAGGTCATCAAACCTTCCTCTTACCACCATCTTTTTGACCCTTCTTCCATTATCACATTTCTCTCTCTAACTACAACCAAGGAAGTTTGTCTGCTTTTACAAATTAGACTGAGCCTACCCAGCTAACCCAGGATGATCTCCCATCTCAAAATCCTCAAGGTTAATCACACTGGCAAAATCCCTGTTACCTTGTAAGATGCTGTGGTTTTGATATGAGGTGTTCCTCACAGTTCCTGTTAATGCAATAATATTCAGAGGAGAAATGCTTGGATTGGGAAAGCTGTAACCTGATCAGTCCATCGTAGTTTAAATGGGCTTGATTGGGTGGTGTGGGACCTGACTAGAACAGGTAGATCACTGGGGGCATGGCCTGGAAGGGTTCATCTTCCCTGTGGCCCCTTCCCCCTCTCTCTATCTGCTTCCTGGATGCTGTGAGAGGAACAGCTTCCCTCTGCCCTGCCCTTCCTATATGATGTGCTGCCTCACCTTGGGTCCAGAGCCATGGAGTCAGCCATCTATGGGTTGAGACTTCTGAAACCATGAGCCCAAAATGAACCTACCATCATCTAAGTTATCATTTTCAAGTATTTTGGTCACAATGACGCAAAGCTGACTAAAACACGAGGTAGTACATTCACAGGTTCTGAGAATTAGGATGCATATGTCTTTGGGAGGTCATTTTTCTGTCTACCACATCATTGTACATTCAAATATTTATTTAGTACCTTTACATGCCAGGAACAGTGCTAGATGCTGACATAAGATGTCAGTACCAGTAGTATGGGGCGGGGTAAGAAGACTGGGGTAGGGGTGCCACACACTGGGACTTCTGACTTGGAGTTCTTTTGTAGTACTCTAGGGGTTCCACTTACATGAAGATTGTAACATGCCCCACCTCCTAACACCCAGGAATCCCCGCCTCCTCACTGACTTATGCTGGTCTGGAATTGCTGGAGGTCTCTAGATAAGGTCATTCCAGTTTTCTGGGAAGTAGGAACTAAGCTTACTGGGGAACTAAGACAAGGATCATGCTAGATTCAGGTCCAGACTTAACAGAAAAAACAAGAACAGGTGGGATCTGCGGCATCCAGAGAGCCCCCTGGGAATAGTGCTGCTCCTGCCCTTTACCCTTTTCCCTCAGAGAACAGGAGAGGGAAATGCCCAAGTCCTCTCAGGCCACTTATAACTACATGTCATAAAAGAGAGATGGGGAAAGACATTTAAAAAGGTTGGTTTCTCACTAACTGAAGCCCCTTCCGGTGGAGGCTCCCTGGCCTATATTTTGCAGCTCCAGGGCTCATGGGAGCCACCAGCTTGCTTCTTTTTTCTTTTTTTTTTTTTTTTCTCAACCACAAGGATGGTGAGTCAGCACAGTGGTTAGTTCTCTGCTGAGAGGCCTCAGCCCTCAGCAGAGCTCTAGGTGGAGCAGCCTCCAGCCCAGCCAGGCCCAGGGTCCTGCCCTGGCATTCCATGCAGTCCTGGGCCTCCAAGATTGGCTGGCACCCTACACTAAGCAGCTACTTATCTTGCTGAATACAGTGCTACCAAAGCCATGGCAGGAGAGGTGAAGGATAAATAAGAAAAGGAGTCATCAGCCCAGTCTGACAAGCACCAGTTAGCATTTGGTCAACAGCAACTTGGGCTCTTTGCTCAGGTCAAACTTGAAATCCGAGGGAATTGGCAAAGTGCTATCCCTTCCTCTGGTCTGGAATCTATATCTAGAAGCCAAGCCCTGACTCCTGAGATCCAGGTAAAGTCCACATCCCAGCATCAGATTCTGCCCTGACAGACTTCAGAGTCCCTTGCAGCTTCCAGGAAGGGTATTCAGTACCCTCTCGGTTAAAAGTATTCTCACTACAAACACCAGAACGCCAGCTATGTTGTCACTTCTGCTCCTACCACATAAAACTGGCTGGCAAAGAAAGCTTTTAGGGAGCGATTTCCCCCCAAATATGTAGCATTTTAAAAAACCTCTCCTATACCCTTCTTCAGAGTTAAATTGCTAACAGCAGTCCTGAGTGACACCTAACAAGTCGGCAGTAAAAAGGAAACTCATCAGCAATTATAAGCTCTAACTAACAGCATGTGGCTTGGAAAACAAGTCTTCCTTTAAATCCACACCCCATCTCTGGATTATCTTGTCTAGAGGTCTTACAGGGTATGCCTCAGTGTTCTGTTAAGGACACTGGCTTCCAGATATGGAAACAGGGGGTTTTCCTCTCTAATCTTTCCCTAATACGCACCATTACAATGATTAGGACTCTAACACATTATGAAATATGTCTCTAATCACATGCAAACTTTGGCTTTAGTGATGGAAGACTACAGAGAATCATGGTGGTGGTGGTAGTGGTGATGATGATGATGATAATGATAAGGAAAGTACAAGATTATTTGACTCTCCTCAGCCTCAGATTGTTGATTACAGGTAGATGTGGCTACTAATCACAAAATTACATAATTTCCCTTTTATTCCTAATGTATGTTCATAAAACTTCCTGGAAAGGACTTTATTCCTCCTTCAAATGTCCAACACACAGTCTTCTTTACATTTTCCTACCAAGCTCCTAGGATTCAGCCCACTGAATTCACATTCAACCCTAGAAACAAGGTATAAGCTATTACTTCAAAGGAATTGCAATCCCCCAACTCAGAAAGTGTTCCCTTTTTGCACCCCCTCAAAACTGTCTATATCATTTTAATCGCCCAACTTTTGGGAAGTAGGGGCAAACTCTATATTTCTTTTCACTGGGATTAGCCCAGATCGTAGACCCTGTCTTTTTCCTAGGCATATGGCTGAGTCACTCTGAGCACAGAAAATCGATAGCACAAATGATCACAGGTTGTAGAACCTCAGCTCAGGAGAGAGATCACTGGTCGAGAAAGCTTGTGATATGCACTGTCCAGAAATCACAGAACACGTAGCCCTACTCAGTATTAATAATGAGTGTAAGACAGCTCTTACAGAGTAGGGGGAAAGTTCTATGTTCTGCCATGGAGATACAGAAACACATAAAATATTTCATTAATCAGAATTATAATGAGACAGAACCAGGGTGGCTTTAAAATGGATGTCCCTGTTGAGATAAGATCCTCTCAGGCAGGCAGGCAGGTGGATTTAGGCAGTGCTATCACCAGGGGAGCCTCATGTGCTTCTGGAAGACAAGGCTCCTGAAATAGAGAATTCAGGAACTTTCTTAACTGTCACACTAACTTTTAGGAACCCTTAGTATGGATGTCTGGTCATGTCTCAGGATTGGCCTAAATTCCACATGTGTCCTTAGAATGAGCTCTGCTCCGCCCACTACCCTTCTCACTGTTCCTCCAATACCCCAAGTTTGTGCCTCCTTCAGAGGCCATGCCTGATGTCCCTTTGTCTGGAACATTCTTCCCTAGCTTCTTGGTATCTGGGCCCCTCTTGCTGCTTAGGCCTTCCTTCCTTTCTTGTTTTCTTATCACTGACATTTTCATAGATGGTTTTGTTTACTGTTTATTGTCTTATGTCACTTTATACAAGTGTGAGCTCCATGGAAATAGAGGCCTTGTCAACCTTGTTCACTGCTGTGTTCCCAGGGCTCAGATGCTGCCTGGCACAAGCTGGCAGTCAATAAACACTTGTTGAAGGAACCTGGGAAGACACATTCCAATGTCTATGTTGGATGGGCTGGGAATCCCCATATAGGATCAGACCTGAGGGAGAGATTAAAATAAATGGCTTCTGGAGGTAATCCCAAGTAGATGTGAATTCTGGTGGAGAAGGCAGGATTGGGCAGCTGGGCTCAAGCGTCTGGCAGAAAGGTTATTCAAGGTCAAGCTGTGTTACATCATTCCCATCTCCACCTGGGGAAGAAGAGAGCTAAAGTGAAATTAGGCCCCTGAAAGCCTGTGACAGAAATCTTGGGGACAGATCTTCTATCCAGAGGGCTTCCATGAAGACCCATCTCTGGGAACCACAACACCAGATGCTAAACTCCTACATTTCCAGAAAACCTTGCCCCAAGAGTGAGCTTTAGGGAGTACAGTACAGTGAGCCAGAAAATCGGCCTGGATCTCATCGCTGCTGCATAGTGAGCTGTAAAGTGAACTAGAAACAAAGGGAGAGAGGTTTATTTTTTATCTTAGGTGTGTCATATATATCTATCTACACACACACACACACACACACGTCTCTGTGCATATATATGTCTATCTATGTATATACACAATGTACAGTATGATTTTTTTTATATTTATATACATAGTGAAATAATTACCACAATCAAGTCAATTAACACATCCATCATATCACAGTCATCTCTTTTCTTGTGACAGAGGTGCCTAAAATCTACTCTTTTAGCACATTTTCATTACATAATACCATATTATTAACCTCATGCTGTACATGAGATCTCTAGACTTATTCATCCTATAGAGCTTCAACTTTGTACCTTTGACCTACATCTCCTTATCGTTTCTCTGGTATCCACCATCCTACTTCCCAAGTTTTGACTCTTTTTTAGATTCCATATATATAAGAGAAATCATACAGTTTTTTTCCCCAATGTATGGCTTATTTCACTTAGCAATTCCTACACATTGACCGATGTTGTCGAGAATGGTAGGATTTTCTTCTTTTAAGGCTGAATAATATTCCATTGTGTGTAGAATTGGATCACATTTTCTTTATCCCATCATCCATCAATGGGCGCTTAGGTTGTTTCTAAACCTTGGATCTTGTGAACAATGCTGTTTTAGAGGCTTAGGAAAGTGATCCCTTCCTAACACCAACAAGCCCTTATGCCTTATCCTAAGTCATGGAGTGGGAGACATAAGAAAAAGAAGGAAAGACAAAATGCCCTCTTTTTGGATCTAAGAAGTAGGTTAGATTAAATTCTTCCCCCTGCCCCATGACAGTTGTCAGAGCTATAGCCCCTGCAGGCATGCCTTGCAAGAAATATTTTATAATTCATGTTTTCCAGATGAAACACTAAAGACTCAAATTGTAATTGGTGAGTAGTAGATAATGTGGTTGTCTGAGTGCCAAATTGCCATCCCAACTCAACCTCCTCCCTGTGTCAGAGACCTGAGTCTTAAAGGTATGGAGTGGGCCGTGCTGGGGGGTGGGGGAGGCTGACCTCTTCTCCTACTCATGTAAGATAGTCTTAGTTGGATGAAGCCAGTTAGTTCCACCTGAGAGTGAGTTTGGGCTCAGTGGTTTTACAAAGCACCCTGGTGATTCTAAGGCACAGCCAGGGCTGGGGATCACTAACTACTCATGACAATTTCCATTGTTAACAGCATGGAAGGAGAGTGTTCCTGGGGCTTCTGAGAAAGCTGAATTTCTTCTTTCTATTTTCTATTTTTCTTTTAAAAAATAGATATATTGTGTTGATAAAACAGTCTATGCTGCCCCTGGATGGGATGCCTGGAACCATGGGCCCTATTTTGAGAACAAAAGCCACTAAGGTTTGCGGAGAAAAAGAAGGGAAAAGACATGGATACTTAACATGTTACTGAGCAACTGAATTACCCGACCCCAGAACTGCCTTCTCCCTGGCCTTGCTGTTAAGTGAATCACTGAAGGTTGATTTAGCCGTTACTTGAAGCTGAGAGCATCCTAAGTGACATGGTTATATAGAAAGTGGCTGAGCTGAAGTCAAGCCAAGACCAGTTCTAAGGGAAAAAACTAGTGGAAGCTAAGAGTGAGGAGAAGCCAACCGATAATTGGGCAGTTATTTGAATGGGACCTTCAGGTTTCTGGACAGTTTTCAACTATTAAAAGGTAATTTGTTAGGGTTTTGATATATTATCTTGAATTCCTTTCTTTGGTTTTTCTATTCATCAGGACCCCTTCCTGAAAATAAAGAAGATTATCTAGATAGTTAATTGCCAGGTTTAAAATACAATTGGAGAGGAAGACCAGGTTTGAAGTTTGGGTAGTTATTAATATTCATAGCAAATCTAAGGTTTCTGGATTGTCTTGGATTTCAGTAAAATTCTAGTAAATTTGCTCATTTAGACAATAACCTCAGTGATTAATGGGTCCAATCACTTTTTCAACTGGATTAAATCTTCAGTCTAGTAATTTTCCACATAGGGTCCTCTGAAAGAAACAATAGAAGAAAGATTTCTTTATAATTTGATCATTATGAAATAGTCAAATCCCCAGAGAAAAGCAGTCACCTGAAATATTAGTGCTTTTTGAAAGGTTCTTATACCATACATATCTCTATATGTAAACAGTTTAAGGATGTGGATTCCATATTTTTTTTAACTCTCATGCAAAATTGAAGTGGCTCAAAGTGTTAGCATCACCGTCTAGAAACTTCCTGAAGGTGGCGCTCAATGGTGAGACTGAGCATCTGAACCAGCAATTTCAGCATCTGGAAAAAGTCAAGTCAAGTCCAGCCTTTTCTTCTTGACAGAGTTAATTACCTTAAGTTAACGTACAGTGAAAGACTTCATGGCACAAAAAAGAATAACCAAATTATAAAAGGTATAATTTAAAGGCTTTGTCAAGAGCTGTGATGATCACACCCTAGAAGATATAAATGTTCTGAAGTGGTACTGATGCTCTGCGCTGGGAGTGTCTGAAGGAGGAACAATGCCTGCATTAGTGTTCAGGCTCTGGAGAGGAAAAAGCTTTTTGGTCTGCAATTACTAGTCTGCTAGTCTCATTTTAGAACACATCTACTTGATGCTTGCTATTTTTTTTTTCCACCACGCTTTTCTCCCTCTTATTTCACGTGTACATTAACATGACTAAAATATGCTTTGCTGGGTGTTGAAGCTGCTGCCTGATAGCAAGGCTCAGATCCTCACTTTGCAGCAGCATCCCCATACCTTACACTGGGTCGGTGGAGCCCCAAAGTGCAAAACATGCCCATCTAGACCACTCCAAAGGCCATCCAGTTTGGATTTTCTGCCCTACTTCCTGAACCTGTCTCTTTATGTGCATCTCACTCATTTTCTTCGATTTGCTTCATGAATAAAGAGTACCTTCCAGAACAGGAGCTGCTAGCACTTTGTCTTCTATCATCTTGGTAGCAGCTGGCCTCCTTCTCTCAGTTTGATGTCACCTCCAATCCCAAGCCCCAGTACTTTACCACCTTGAGCTAAGATGGGCATGGAATGAATCTCCCCTGGCATATCCTCCTGCTTTTAGAGGGTCTCAGACCCTAAGCTAAAGTTGCTCTGGTTCTTGGCTTGATTCCCTGAAGATCATGTTAAATTCTACCAAGGAGAGCTCTTTTGAAGAATAAATTAAATACCTACTTGGAGCACCCCATCCCAGGTTTGAGAAGAAACTTCTGATTATCGTACTGTAACAGAGCAGGTCAGAGAGGCATTTTTATTTTAACAAAAGCATTTCTTTCCCAGGCACAGTGGCTCATGCCTGTAATCCCAGTGATTCAGGAGACTGAGGCAGGAGGATGGAAATGTAAAACTAGCTTCAGCAACTTAGTGAAACCCTGTCTCAATATAAAAATTAAAAAGGACTGGGGATATGGCTCAGTGGCTAAGTGCCCCAGGGTTCAAACCCTGGATGAGGAGGAGGAGGTCAAAAATATGTTTTCTTTTGTTAGAACTACCTCTTTCTTCACTCCCAACTCTTTCACTATTCTATTCCTCCATCTCTCATATCCTGTCTTTTGGTATTCTAAATTCTAAAGAAAGCTCTCTGCAATGTCCTTTCCTCTTCTGCAGTTTAAAAGAGAATGTGTTTACCTAAAAGGAAGAAACAGATGCTGGCCCCAGGAAGTCCTGGCTCCTTTTGGTATGATAAGGAGGTAACAGGGACTCTAAAAAGAGGTGAAACCTATAAAATTTCCCTCTTTTTTTCCCCAGTGTGCCCATTCCCCCTTTAAAAAGATTTTCTCACCCCAGAGACTTCCTAAGATGGAATTTTTCAAACAAAAAGTTTCTTCCTTCAAAGCTGACTTTGAATAAAACCTATTTTCCTACCAATTTGACTCAGACTATTTCTGAAGCAGGAAGTGGTGTAGCCTAATCTCCTCACCAGAGCAGTATTGGAGCCACCAGGTAAGATTGTCAAAGACCTTCAACTAGGCTGATCTATAAATGCAAAAAGGCAGCAAAGATGAAGACTGATAGAATTGGATTCCCAGTAAACATTGGCCAAACTCACACCTTCCATGGCTTCTAGAGCAACAGCTTCCTACAGGAAGGAGGAGGATCTTTGTTTTCATTCCATCTCTGTGGCCTGACAGCCTGGCCTGATGTTATGGTTTAGATGTGAGATGTCCTCCTAAAGCTCATGTATGAAATGATGCAAGAAAGTTTAGAGGCAAAATGATTGGGTTATAAGAGCCTTAACCTAATCAGCACATTGAACCCTGATAGGGATTAACTGGGTGGTAACTGTAGGCATTCGGGGTGTGGTTAGAGGAGCTGGGTCACTGGGGGCATGCCTTTGGGGTTTATATTTTGTCTGTGGTGAGGACAGTCTCTCTCTCTCTTTCTGCTTCAGGTTCCAAGTGCTGAGCTGCTTTCTCCTGCCACACCCAGTGCTTCTGCCAAAATGTTCTGCCTCACCTGAGGCCCAGAGCAACGGAGTTGATCATCTATGGACTAAGACCTCCCAAACTGCGGACCCCCACATAAACTTGTCCTCCTGTAATTGTTCTTGTTAGGTCTTTTGGTCACAGCAGGGAAAAGCTGACTAAAACCCCTACTTCCTACCACTTCCTACTTCCTCTAGAGGCTTACTTACCTCAGAGTCAGTCATCCATAAACTGGGCCCACTGTGCTGACCCCACATGCTTTCTTTTAAAAAGCAATTTACCTGCACCCCTGCCTGGCCTAAGTCAATAGACTATGTTGCATAAAAACTTTTAGGAGAAATTCAGGAGAAAGGCTCATCCCTGCCAAAATGAAGAATTCAAGTTACACTGAAGTAGGGGTTTCTGTGATCCTTACACAGGATCAGATTCCAGAACTCAAGGAGATTTGATAGCTAGAACCAGTTAGCATGGGCCAAAGTAACTCACAGTTGCCTTGGATCTTTAGCATGTCAACTCTCCCCTCCATGGGGTAACACCATGCACAGAAGGACCTGAGAGTGATGCAGTCCTGCTGTCAGTCAAAAGTCAAGAGGTAGGCCTGGTGGGACTCTATAGAAACTTCCCTGGTGTTAGAGGGATAGACACATGAGAATGGTGGGAACACAAAGTTAAGAGAACAATGACATAAAATAGACCCACAGTGCTGACCCCCTCAGGCTTTCTTTGCCAAAAAGCGATTTGCCTGCAGACCTGCCTGGCCTAAATGGACAGGATATGTCACATTCCTCAACAAACTACCTGTTTTCTGCCAGGAAATGCAGGCAGGAAATAACATTTATAAGAGGAACCCAAGTTACTTTGAAAGGAGAGATATTTGTGACCCTTTTCACAGACCGGATTCCAGAAGATAAGGATAAGTCCTCCCCACCATAAAACTTGTAAAAATGGTTAAGAATCCAATTAGACTCAGTCAGCATGGGCCAAGGTGACATAGAGTTGTCATTGGCAACAGGGACTTGAAAGTGTGATGTTACCCTGCTGTCGGTCAGAAGTCATGAGGTTGACCTGGGCAGGACTCTCTGGGATCCCCAATAAAACTGGATTGCAGGAGAGACACATTGTCTCCCTATTCTCTGAGAGGACTCTCTCTCTCCCTTGAGAGTGTCCCCTTTCCCTTTTCCTTTCCTTTCAATAAACTCATTGGTGTTACTCTGAGTGACATCTGAAATCTTTCTGACATGATTGCAAGAATCAGGGTCTGAAAAGGGGATCTTTGTGCTGCCTCAGTTTCCCAGAAAGCTCTGTAACACTGGGACCCCCAATAAAACTAGAAGGCACCCAGCAGCTCAGGAGACTGAAGCAGGAGGATCACAAACAAGTTCAAAGCCAGCCTCAGCAACATAGCAAGGCCCTAAGCAATTTAGTGAGATCTTGTCGCAAAATAAAAAAATAAAAATAAAAATGGGCTGGGGGTGTGGCTCAGTGGTTAAGTGGTTCAAAGCCTGGTACCAAAAAATAAAATAAAATAAGGAAGGCAGGAGGGCATACCATCCTTCCCTCTGAGAAAACCCACTCCCTCACTTGAGAATGTCCCCTTTTATCATTTTACTAGTCTTTTAATTCATGCCTGCTACTCCGAGCCACATGTCTGAAATCTTTCTGGGGTCGCAAGAACTAGTAACCGAAGACTTCTGCAGCTGTCTCGACCTCACCGTGGGTCCTTGCTCTATAACACTCCCAGGGTTGCTCCTAGAGGGAAGTTGTTCAAAAAGAGAGAAAACAAAAGGTAAATTTGTGGGAAGTGGTAAGCCTCAAAGTGGGGCTGAGAAGCCAAAATGGCTTTGGTTAAGGAGCTCATTTTCCCACCTGAGGTGTTACTCAATCTTTTAATCCACATGTACGTTTCACATTAGATAGATGCTTACAATCCCCAAGCTCTCTTCTTTTTGACCAATACTTGTGACCCAGACTACCTACAGGTCACTGAAAGACTTCTGTTGAACACAGTGATCCACACCTTTATTCTTACCTGATACACCCTTTGAAAGAGGCCAGCTCACAGTCTCCCACTCAAAGCAATCTCACACAAGAGGGACAGCTAGCATACTTCATACCTGCTGCTATGACATGGGATATGCAATCGTTTTCATTCTTTTTCCATTTGAAACTTCCTGTTTCTCCCAAACTTTGTCCATAGTCAGGAGGTAAGCAAGGAATAGAAAACCCACAACTCAAAGAGCAGTCCAGCTGTGCCCAAAAATTACCATCATGGATGCCCAATAATGAGCTGGGCATCACTAGCTGCATTTCTCTGGATTCTTACTTATGCAAGTATTAACATCTTTGTTCATCCCAAATGTTCATGAGTTTATTGGGTCCATACACTCTGGTGTTGCTTGACTCCCTGACAACAAATGACTGGAACAGTTGATTCCGCTGGGTTCTTCATGTAAGCAGTGCTTCACATGGTATCCCAGGTTGGCTTCACAACACCACCAGAGGGCAGTACTGTTAGCATTCCCATCTTACAGATGAGAATACTGAAGTGCAAAGAAGGTAAACAACTTCCCAGGTCAACAAGTAACATACTAACTTATTCACTGAGTACCCCAGGCACACCAGTGAAAGACCAATTTCATTCCAAAATCAACAAGCAAAAAAAAAAAAAAGTCAGAACTAGGGCTGGGAATGGAACTCCGTAGTAGAGCACTTGCCTAGCATGTGCAAGGCCCGGGGTTCAATTCCCAGAACCACACAAAAGAATCATAAATAATGTTTGTTGAGCTCCACATATCAAGCCCTGTTCCAAATGCTACACAAGCTTTCTGGTCTTTAATCCTCCTATCAGTTGTTGCAGAAATCACATCAGAAGCACAGCCCCATCAAGGAGAGTAAACACATTTTTAAAGGGCCTCTCTTTTGACCCTCTCCTCTACTGCCTTGCTCTACCACTGATGTCTCAAATCATACTGAGCAGATCTAACTTTCTCACTGCTTCCTCCAGTGGCCTCTCATCCAAGTCCCCACAACCTCAATGTCTAGGTAACAAATATTCTCTACACTCCAACCCAGAATCTGCAGCCATGACACTGGGATTTATTAATCCCATTTAGAGATGGAGAAACCAAGGCTCAGATAACTTGTGCATGTTCATTCAGCTTAAGGGGGAAGAAGTCATGGTTATGGGAGGGAGCTATCAACCCCATGTCTGACACCAGAGCAAACAAGGGAGGTTAGGGCATCATAAGAAAAGGACAGCTTTGTGAAGAAATATATTTAAGATCCCTAGATACATGTGTAAAGTGGGAGCACAGGGCACTGATCCGGGAGTAGGGGACCATGACCTTTGGGTATTAAAGGAATTTGTATGATGGAGAAAATACTTCTGTCCTCTCAGGTTCAGTCTGAGGGACTATCCTTAACTGACAAAAGACAGATTCACAAAAGGGAAAAAAAAAAACAAACAGTTTATTTACTCATGCAACTGAAGATACTCAGTGAAGATTAACTTGCCAGACAGAGATAAAGGATTTATATACAAGCCTAACAGAAGGTATAGAAGTTGCTATCAGGCCGGGCGTAGTGATGCATGACTGTAATCCCATTGGCTCAGGAGGCTGAGGCAGGTGGATTATGGGTTCAAAGCCAGCTTCAGCAACTTAGCAAGGCCCTAAGCAACCTAGCAAGATCCCGTCTCAAAAAAAAGTGTCAGGGGGCGGGGGGCAGGGAATGTGTTTTGGTGGTTAAGCATACCTGGGTTCAATTCCTGCTACCAAAAGGAAAAAAAAAAAAAAAAAGGTGTTATCAGGCTTTCCAGTGCTGATGGGAATGGTCAGTCTGTCTCACTGGCAGCTGAGTTGAAGGGGACCTGCAAGAAGCTAATGACAGTATATTTTCCCAGAAGCTCTGCTTTACCCAGATAAGGGAAGTTCAGATAATATTTCTTTATTCGTCTTCTTTAGTTCAAATATTTTTACTTGAAAACCATCTTTAAACCAACTCTGAGGGCCCAAGTGGTCCCACAAAACCAGCTAAAATGTGCTTATCCTATGAGCCAAAGCTTTTAAAGCAGAGTTTTTATGTGATTAGTTCTTCTTATTACCAAGACCTTTGGCCAAAATATTTTAAAATAAGTTACTTCATGTTACTGATGCAGGAGCACTATCCCCATTGTGTGGACAAGGAAACTGAGACAACAAAGCTAGACGGTATACTTAGGACCATGGATTGTTAGTGACAAACCAAAAACTTGCTTTTCTAACTGTGCCCCCAAACTCTATCCCTAATGACCCAATGTTTGACCAGAAGAAAATTGTCGTTTAGGACACATTTTCCCTGTGCTAAAATACCGAAAGCCCCCTGAGCTCTGCTTGCACCCACCCTTCACATGGAGGGCTCACTTGAACTGCGTTGCATCTGTGCATTCTCTTCCACACTTGGGTAGGAACATTTCTTCCACTCTCCGTTTCTTCCATGCTTCTAGGTAAAAATATTTATTTACATAGCAAGAAAGAAAATTTAGAGTCCAGTTGGCTTCTTTACCCAATGTTTCTCTGAATTGCCTATTGTACATTTCTCATCCGGGTCACAGCAAAAAATAATTAATCTTCGGTAAAGTGAGTAACTCAGTTTCAGCATGTCTGAGGCATTTCATTGAAGATATATTTCAATCTGGAGTCTGGGCTTCTTGGTGATACCCTGTAACCCTATAAGGCTGCATAAAAACCCTTTGAAGAATTCTAAGAATCTTCTCAGAGGAAAGGGTGGCATGGGACCTCTAGTTACTCTCTCTGGGATTCTTTGAGCTAAGTTTTTATGTTGAATGAAGCCAATAAAAATGATAAAGGGAGGGGAGGGAAGGGAGAAGTGGCAATCAAGGGAAGGAAGAATCAGATGTGCACACCTCGTTAGCTAAATCTGTCATTACTTCTGGGGATAGTGGGCTCCTCCTTCATACATGGCTATGACCCCAGCCCAGCACAATAGATATATTTTGATATAATAAATATGTCTTTGATAACTCAAAGATATCACTAAGCAGGAAATGATGAAATGGGGAGGAAGGAATATACAGGGAAGGCAACATTGGGAGGCATCCTAAGTCCCTGGAAACAGAAATGAGGCGATGATCCAGGATTCATGGTACAAGAAGGGTCAGAATGGCAGCCACATAGACCTGCTGTAGAAGCCAAGATGTAAAAAAACACCAGATTTAGGGTGGAATCCTCTTCCCCCTCTAGATTAAGGAACTTGGGCACATTACAGAACCTTCCTGAACCCATTTATCCTCTGTAAAATGAGGCTTGTAACAACATCTGCCTCCCAGAGTACCCACAGGAATGATGGGATAAGCCTTATAGAAGCATTTAACCCTGTACCTGACTCCTACAAGGTACCCAATAAATGTTACTTGTTAATAATTAAAAATTCAAGATTGTCCCTGGTTCCTAAAAGTCTGTTGCCTCAATGAACCTCCTTTCATAGTGTGTGTGTGTGTGTGTGGTGTGTGTGTATATATATATATGTATATATATATATATATATATATATATATATATATATATGAATGACAGTAGAATGCATTACAATTCTTATTACACATATAGAGCATAATTTTTCATATTTCTGGTTGTATACAAAGTATATTCACACCAATTTCATAGTTTTTTTATTATCTCTAGAAATGCTATTTGCAAAGTAGCCATATTTGTAAATCTTTGTTTACCATCTCACAAAAGAAAACCATTTCCACACTCAGTTTATTAGTTCTTCCTAAACAAAGCAAACTTCTCAGCCAAAATTTTGTACATCAAAAGCTTGCTTTCTTCATTGTTTAACTAAGTATTTTGTTTCTTATTTTCTGGGAAATGTTTTCCTTGGTTTGCTCTTCCTGGGGGCCAGTGGCAGGGCATCATGGTTTCCATCTCACTAAGCACATAATGGGGCATCCTGGGGAGATAATGGATTCTGGAGAGCAAGGGGCCATTTATTCGAGAGAGCCTGGAGTCTCTGGGTAAAGGGTGACAGTGCAGAAACCTCACTAATGCACTCTTTCCATTACCCTTCTCAATTTTTCCTGTCTCCCACTATTACCTTCAATTAAGCTTTGCTCTTTAAAACCTTTCATCTGCCCCTGGGGTCATTAGCTTTTATCTGGCATAGCAGTCAGCAACCAGAGTTGGCCTGGTACTTCTCAAAAA